TTATTTTTTTTTTCGAGGTATGACTATCAATTAGTTCGACCAAATGTTACTGCTCAAATCTCACATAAAACATGTATTAATGGATTTGCTGGACGTAAAAATGTTCCTCCTAACATGGGTTGGCTTTGGAATTCACAAAACCGTGGCAAATGGAAACCAGGTGCTATAAGCAAACCCATTAAAGAATTAATGAGATATTTTCTAAAGGATTTTCCGGCCGATACTTTACTTGTTTCCCAATACTCCTACCGCAAAGCATCCAAATCGAAAAATACCAAAATCTCTTCCGATAATACCCAATTGGTACAAAAACCCACTTTATATATTCATAAAAAGAATGGAGAATACATTATAACCATGAGGCCGCTTAAACCCCTTGAAATTTTAAAAGATTCAGCAGACCCCTATGAAAATATGAAACCTATACAATTTCGTATTGTTAAAAATCCCCAATTGGAGGCAATACGAAATCTAAAGAAGTGTTTAAAAGAAATGGGTTTTAAAAAGTGTACTTGTCATAGACCTATTATGTATTGCTATTGTAGAAGTTTTTTGGAAAAAAAGAAATTAGAATATCAGTGCAATAAGGAATGTAGTGCACGACAACTGGAGTCATGTTGTGATACATTAGTACTCTCGGATACTAGCGAAAGTGAGGCAGAATTTGATTTTGGTGTAACACCACCGGTGGGTGTGATAAAACCTGAGAAACTTAAGAAAATAAATTTGGTAAATGTGGGTACTCAATATGCGGAATCAGATTGGAATCCAGAGCCTCTATTTCCTAAGCCGCCAAATAAATATATGCAAATGTATCAATGTGCGGTGGGAGAACGTAAAGCACCCGATACTGTGGGGGGTGGGGGAAAGGAAGGGCCCAAATCTGTTGCAGCTGGAGCGCTACGTGGTAATGTTTGTGCAAAGGGAGGTGAAGGGGCCAAGTCTGCTGCAGGTGGAGCGTTGCGTGGTGGTGTTTTGGCAAAGGGAGGTGGAGGTCCTAGGGCCGTAGGTAAAGTTGTGGGAGACACTTTAGTCGGTGGTAGAACTGTTGCTGCTAAAGGTATAGGATACACCGCAGCGGGTTTTAAAGGAGCTGGTGATGGTTTAGCAATGGGAAAAGTTGCTAACAAGAGAGGACCTGTAGGCGCTGCAACCACTGGTAAACCTGGCAGTCTTGGTGATGCTGCCAATACTCCCAAAAGAAAAGTTGATATGTTAAAATATTCAATGAGAGCTGCTAAAAGTATGACAAAAGCCGACTTAGCCGCTAGAAGGTATATCAAAATAATCTAATATTTGCTAAAATAGTTTGATACAAACATTTTTTAACATTTTAGAAAAGAAAAAATGAATTTATTAAAAGGTGCCAATCCTCCGCTATTATGTATGGTCGATAGACTGGGTAAACCAATAAATCCCTGTGATCCTTGTATTCCCTGTGGCGATAATCGTATATGTTAAATATTTCTATTAAACATTTTCCAATAAAATAGAGGAAAGTTAAAGAATCCAAATTTAAAGCATAAATTTGCCAGCTAAATACTTACATATGTCTTTAAATAATATTAAAATAATTTAAATTATATGTTTTTTTTGAACAAATTAAGTATTTAACTTTTTAACATCTCTGTTGTGTTTATTTTTAGTTATTTTGCAAATAACTTAATTAGAGTGAATGTTTAAGAGTAATTTTGTGTGCGAAAGCTAGGAGAGAGTGTTAAAACCATTTGCAAATAATTTCTTTTTATTATAAACAATATACAAGTTCGGAATCACCAGACCGAAAATATCAGGAAGTTGTTAATTTAAATTTTAAAATTAATATCTAAAGAGTTTTAGTAGCTTATTGTAGCTGCAGGATGATATAACCAGCAAACATTTAAATTTGATATTAAGGAAGAAAACATGTAAAATCGTGCATCCTTTAAAATAAAAATGGGACAGCTCGCGAACTAATAACGCTACCCAAAATATAGAAGTCACGGTTTTAGTTTTAACACTTTATATAGAAGGGACCTGGTAATTTAACATGTCATAATCCTTTTGATTAATATGTGACAAATCGCTTACTAAAATATTTTTTAACATTTTTTATTAATATTTTTTGTGTCTATATTTTAATTGGTTTCAATAACTTTATAATAATGTACATTAATTAGTTCTGCTAACCTCTTAAGACATACCGTATTTTCTCATATACATACATATAGATAGAGTTTTTCAATTCCCGGGAATTCCGAAGAAATTTGAATCCCTAAATCCCAGGAATTTTTCGGAATTATTTTACCTTTATAACATTTTGGATTTAAAAAGTTGTATCTGATAAATATATAGATCTGTAATAGATCTAGAATGAAATAGAATAGATCGAAATTCAAAGCTCTATAATTTCATTACATGTTATTGGATATAACTTCTGCATTTATTGATCCTATATTAATAGATAATATACCGAAACGTATACTAATCGGCTTTTAATCATTTTCTACTGTGCGTCCATGAACTAGGCAATATACTAGTCTAATTCAGAGAATAGCCAACAGGCGTGCCCATAGACTAGACTATATTAGTGTAATCCATAGTAAATAGATATAGATAGATGATATAGATAGATAGATAGATAGATAGATAGATAGATAGATAGATAGATAGATAGATAGATAATAGATGATAGATAATAGATAGATCGATAGATAGATAGATGATAGATAGATAGATAGATAGATAGATATATGATAGATAGATAGATAGATAGATAGATAGATAGATCGCTCGCTCGCTCGCTCCTCGCTACTCGCTCGCTCTCGCTCGCTCGCTCGCTCGCTCGCTCGCTCGCTCGCCGCTCGCTCGCTCGCTCGCTCGCTCGCTCGCTCGCTCGCTCGCTCGCTCGCTCGCTCGCTCGCTCGCTCGCTCGCTCGCTCGCTCGCTCGCTCGCTCGCTCGCTCGCTCGCTCGCTCGCTGCTCGCTCGCTCGCTCGCTCGCTCGCTCGCTCGCTCGCTCGCTCGCTCGCTCGCTCGCTCGCTCGCTCGCTCGCTCGCTCGCTCGCTCGCTCGCTCGCTCGCTCGCTCGCTCGCTCGCTCGCTCGCTCGCTCGCTCGCTCGCTCGCTCGCTCGCTCGCTCCTCGCTCGCTCGCTCGCTCGCTCGCTCGCTCGCTCGCTCGCTCGCTCGCTCGCTCGCTCGCTCGCTCGCTCGCTCGCTCGCTCGCTCGCTCGCTCGCTCGCTCCTCGCTCGCTCGCTCGCTCGCTCTCTCGCTCGCTCGCTCGCTCGCTCGCTCGCTCGCTCGCTCGCTCGCTCGCTCGCTCGCTCGCTCGCTCGCTCGCTCGCTCGCTCGCTCGCTCGCTCCTAGCTCGCTCGCTCGCTCGCTCGCTCGCTCGCTCGCTCGCTCGCTCGCTCGCTCGCTCGCTCGCTCGCTCGCTCGCTCGCTCGCTCGCTCGCTCGCTCGCTCGCTCGCTCGCTCGCTCGCTCGCTCGCTCGCTCGCTCGCTCGCTCCTCGCTCGCTCGCTCGCTCGCTCGCTCGCTCGCTCGCTCGCTCGCTCGCTGCTCGCTCGCTCGCTCGCTCGCTCGCTCGCTCGCTCGCTGCTCGCTCGCTCGCTCGCTCTCGCTCGCTCGCTCGCTCGCTCGCTCTCGCTCGCTCGCTCGCTCGCTCGCTCGCTCGCTCGCTCGCTCGCTCGCTCGCTCGCTCGCTCGCTCGCTCGCTCGCTCGCTCGCTCGCTCGCTCGCTCGCTCGCTCGCTCGCTCGCTCGCCCTCGCTCGCTCTCTCGCTCGCTCGCTCGCTCGCTCGCTCGCAGCTAGATAGATAGATAGATAGATAGATAGATAGATAGATAGATTTTACTTTCAATATAAATTTGTATTTAGAACGCAATTTCCTCGGTATTTTATATTTTCCCGATAAAAAACATTCTTAGGAATTCTGGGGAAAATTCGCCGCTTAGAAACCCTAATTTAACGTATAAGAAATTTTAATATTGTTCATAGTATTTTGTTAAACGAACCTGAAAATTCTCTCACTTATTTATACACATGCATACACATATATTGTCACCTTAAATGCAAACGGCCCTATCTAACATTTTTAAAATTTTACAGGAGAAGCAAAAAACTATTTAAATTGAAAAGTTCTATCAACGCGATTTATTTGTAGTAAATAAACAAATTGTTTAATAGTGAAACCTATCATTTGTTACGATAGTTGGCAATGGCGTATAAAAAAATGGATAAATTGGACTTTTTGCCTTTAATATTTACATGTTTTTGTAGATAGGGCCTTTTGTTTTCTGTCAATAAAATCGATAATTATGGTCGGAGGAGTCCAATTTTTGGTGTGGACTTTTGTTTTAATGCAATACATTAGAATCACGAATAAAATCGATTTTGAATTTTTGGTTAGTTAGGGCGGTTTGCATTTCAGGTGACGATATTATGAATGCATGTACTCGGAGTAATACAGTTATTTGACAAAGTTTAGTTAAACAAATAAAAAATTATCTAGATGAAAAACATTTATAACAGTATTTCCCAAACGTAAGTACAACCTATGATGGGTTTAGCTGCAAGCTAAAAACTATGACGTATTCTAGAACTTTTATGTTAGTTTCTTGTATGTATGATTCATCAGCTTCGAGGAGTCTGTGGTGGGAATCGAAACCACGACTACCGAACTAACAAACTAGAACACTACCAACTAACCTACCGGAGATATATTATACATAATGATATTTAATTCACTTAAAAATCAATAGGGACAAATTACCTCATTCGTGATCAAATTAAATTTCGTATCGATCAGGAAAATCACGATTACATTTAAGTGGAAATGCAAAATTTTCAAATGAAAAGTTCAACATGATATAAAAAGTTTAAGAAACTCTGTTCTACTGAATGTACTACGAAAATAACTAAAATTATTAACATACGAATACTTATTATAGTGAAACTCCCTTAAATTATAATTTAACTTTAAGCATTTGTTTCAGAAAGTGTTTGGTAGTTGGCGCGAATACAAGACGCGTAATTTCAAAAATGTTTATACGTTATTTCAAATTTAAAAACATTTTATTTCTTATACTTTTCTTTATATTAAAATTCAAAAATTACGAATGTAATACGAATTTAAATCAAAGATTTTATACAAATGCAAGTGCAATGACTACATTTCGTTTTCGGGATTTTGAACCACGTTACGCCATGAAAACGGATGCGTACCTTAAACCAGTTTTATTCGATCGTTTAGTTCGAAATATACGCAAACCAAGAGGATTTCAATTTCATGCTGATGATCGAGATTTTAATGTTGAATTGGAATTTATTGTACCCTTTATTCGCATACCCATCGAGAGAGGTATGACTCTGACACAAACCGCTTTTCGGAGTTTATTTAATTTAAATTTACAATCCCTATTGACGACGGGGGGTATTGTGGCAGTTGGTGGCATATTTGCTCTAATACTAAAATCTGTATTTTCACAATTTGTTTATATAAGTGATTATAGAAAGACCTCTAGAAATGAGGATGCTAATCAGCCAGACTCTATCCAGTTCTCTAAATTTTATTCGGGAAATTCTTCGGAAAATGGTGAGTTTTTGAAATTATTTTTTTTACGTTTTCATTAATTTATTGTATTTCAGTTCTTAATATTAATAAGTTCGCCTCTATAATGGAATCTAAATTACAAGAAAATAATATCAATATTAGCCATTGTATTCAGCGATCTTTGTGTAATTATGCTCAGCAAAATTTCTGTAATAACAATTCTGTGAGTGGAGGTTTACCCCGTATTTTGGATGGTGTTTTTAGGTATTTATATTATTTTTATTTTAAATATTTATATATTTATTTATTGTTTTAAATAGCTTGGATTTGGTGCGCAATTATTTAAGTGGCACTGCTATTAAAGATGCTTTAGATTCGGCCAAAGAAGGAGTTGATTGTGTTGAGGTTTACGCTAATTGCAATTGGTCTTTTCCCGTACAATCTATGTTGAAACTTGCCAAAAATTTTTACGATCTAAATATTACATAATGTAAAGTTTGTAGTTTTTGTTGTAATTTATAAATTGTTATTAAAATCTTATTTTTTTTATGTTATTTGTTTTATTTTATTGAGGCTGAAGACCCTCACAAACTTTAGAGAAATTAAGATTTATTGTAATGATTAGAAAATCTCTATCAGAAATTTCATAAACGATATCCCTATAAAGTTAAAGTAAGTTATCAAAACACGTTAATAGAAATTTCTTTAAATAAAGATAAAGGACTCTGTTTTTATTATAATGTTTGACTATGAACAATAGGACATTTTTATCAAAAGCTGGAAAATTATAATCTTCCTTTATAAGTAAATTGTAAAATTTACAAAAAATGGTCTGAAGGTCGTTGGAACCCAAATCATATCCGTCCATTTTGTTCTAAAATTTCTAATATACTGCATACAGTCCTCACACATAAATCTTATAAAGTTGTTTGCTTCTAGAACCCCGAGTGAATATTGATCGATTCCTGAACACTTTTTTGTACAGTGGTATATTTTTCCACAAACTCCATTACATCTGATGCCCGTTTCTCCTCTAATCACTGACTTGCATGAACTGCAATCAGTCATTTTTGGTTATTTTTTATTGTTTAATTATTGTCCAATAACTTATTTATTTTATAAATATTATTTTATACACAATTTGGTTTAGGTTTATTAAACGTTTTAATAGTCTTTTTTCTATTTTTAAACAGTTTAATATTTATTTTTCGTTATTTTAATCAGAGCTTTTGTTTCTTGTTTCTTATTCTTATTATTAATATTATTTCTTAAACTAGTTTAAGAAATAATATTGGTGTATAGTTAGTGAACGATATGAAATAATTGTAATAGATAGACAGCGGAGCCAAACGAGGCAAGAATTCAGAATTTGATCGATTTGACAGAAGCTATTTTACTATCCAACGTATTCCAAAACGTTACGGGCGGCTTAAAACAAATAACAAATTAACATATGAAAGCACATACAACTTGTTTAAACGGCTGCTGAAGAAAGTTATTTTGCTAGCCGTGCGAAGCAGACTATTTTCTATGTGCTCTACACCTTGCAACTATATCGGAACCACTTCAGGAACAAAATCTTGCGGATAAACTAACAAAAATATTCTTTATAGAGCATATTTGTATGGTAGAATAATCCATATGATGCCTCTAATAAGTGAAAAATAAAACCCGCGATTTTTCTTTCTGATGTTCACTATTCAGATGTTCGCTGATGGCTGGTTCTGATAACAACACATACGTGTTGCGAAAACCTAATGGGAAGCACCTATCAACACATATAAAAACCACAGTGAAGCAAGGTACAGTTTGAGTACTGCTTTAGGGGTCTATTTCGGGAGATGGAACTAGGTCATCACATTTTATAGAATATTTTATTGACCAGCCGGTTTATTTGCATATTTTGTAGACTAAATTGCACTTCTGAAAGTAAAAGCATACTCTTAGCAACAACTAAAACTTCTACCAGGACAACGATCCGAAGCATAAATCTTATAAATTGAAGTTTTGGTTTTTGTATAAATGTCCACAAGTTAGGGAGACACATGCCCAGACCCCTGACATCAATCCCATTAAAAATCGCGGGAGATATCTCGATGTTAAAGTAAAAAATCCCTACAGTTCGTTAAAACCAGTGTTAAGGCGAGTTCTTACAGAGGAATGTAAAAAATTTGAACCAATCTTTTGCAGGATCTTAGTGGAAAGCAAGTCTAATAGGTTAGAGATTGTTATCAAATCCTAATGTCTTCATATAAAGCACTAATTGTCATTTTTTAATATATATTTTAAATGTACGAGTTTGGCTTTTATCGATATTTATTAAACAACCATTATATTTGAATTTGGTCAATATGTCATTCATTTCCAATAAAGACTTGTGTCACTATTTGACCCACCAATTAACTTTATATGAAATTGTTAAAAGTATGCTGCAAAGAAGAATAATATAGGAAAAACATACTGTACGACTTTGGCTTTTAACCACTGTATATCATTAACAGTCATACATCTCTCATGTCCTCGAGCGTGATATGATCGAAATATTATCTCTATTGCATTCCCTTTCTGTCACAACTTAGAGGACACATTATAGAATTGATTTGAGTCTTAGACAATGAGGACATTTAGGGATATGAAATTACCAACGATTTTGCAATTAACAAATCGTTTTTGAACAAAGCTTTTAATGTCCTGTCCTTCACGGAAAATAACTTTTACTCTATTGGGTAATGAGGAGAACTCTCTAACGCATGCCAGATCGTTGCAGAAGAACAAGTACTCATTTTATGTGACTGTTCTGCTTTTTTTTATAATTTTTACCGTCTCAAGGATGTTTTTTTAACAAATTTAATAAAAATTGTTTAAAGTACCAGATGGTTGTCTCTGGAATCATATGAAAAAGAAATCGGAAGATGCTTCAAGATACTTAGTTCAAAAAAAAAAAAACACATTTTGGGTTTGTCCCTTCAGTATCAATATGTAGTTTTATTACAAAACCGAATATATTTTAAATTTTACACCAATAGTAATCCTGGGTTGTGAAAGTTTTGGGTTGTCAGAAAATTCGCCATATTTACGATTCATTTCTTTAGTAAACATACTTTTCAAAACTCGATCCAAAAACGAACTCGACCAAAAAAATGCAAAAATAGTAAATTTTTCTATTGGAAATCGTTGTTAAACAAAAAGGTATTTAGAAAAAATCGGTTGAAAATGCTGTTAGAAAACAGAATGATGCAAAAGAGTTGTTAAAACATTTAAATTTATTTTTAAAAATGTGCAGCGTATGTTATATAATCAATTACAACAAAAGTAAAAGCACATGAACCAATTTGCATATAGCACATTAGAGGTGACCAAAAAATATGAATTTTGCTTGAATTGGTCTCATTTTATCCATAAGTAAAACAAACTGGTATAAAATTTTGGCCAAATCGGATAACAGGAACCCGTGGCGGAAATTGATAGAAAAGCGTAAAACAAAAACGATATTATTTGGGCACCTCTAATATACATTTGTATGTAAATCAAATTTACATTAAAACTAAAGTGAAATTAAGTGAACCTTAAAATCAACCACAAAGTTACATCAAACAATTTCATACCAGCGACGCATCTACAAACTAAATGAAAATGTTGTTGTGTCAACTAAATGAAAATAAAATTGATTAAACTCTCACATCATACATATGTGTGTATGATGTCATTAGAAGAGGCAGCAGAGCTTATAAAGGTAACTTTCTTGCAAGAAACTTATTTAAAATATGTAAAACTGCAACTGATTTTCAAATAAATTTCATTTTCCCAGCATAACGGTTGAAGTAAAGTACATTTTTTATTTGGAGAAGAAAGAAAATGTTTAAAAACTTATTTTTGCTCTTCGTTATTGGCTACAGCGAATATTGTAAAGCCTACAATAATACAACTTATGATTTCAATGGATTAACAGAACGAAAATCTCGAGCTAACTTGGTTTCTTTTGAGCCGTTGGGTGAACATATACAAGTTGGTTTGGATTATCTAATGCCTTTTATAAAGGTGCCAATTGTTAGAAAAGTGGATATTTATGGCAATGAACCGGTAGGTTAAATTATTTTAAGAATAAATCATTATTTAAAATAAATTATTATCATTTTAGGCTTTAATTAATATCAATACCGCAGCCATAGTATCCACCGGTCTATTGGCTACATCAAGTGCTTTGATTTCCTTTATCTTTAGAAGATATGTAGTACTGGGAAGAGAAGCAACATCCTCCGAACATCGCCGCAGATCTGATAATGATTTCGAACAGGAATTGTGGTCCATTTTAAATAATTTCAAATTGGTTTATACAAATTCTTCAGGTTCCCGAGTTGGTAAGTTTTTTTGCTAACTTCAATATTTATTTGTTTATACAGTTACATATCGTTTACTTAGATACCTCATTGTCTGGTTTATTTGATACGATTAATGAAACATTTCAAAAGAATGGCATCGACTTAAGCTCTTGCATACAAAAAGCCATTTGCATACGTCTTCAGTTATCTGCAGATCGTGTTAATGAGGGTAATTCATCAGGTGTCGATAAAATTATTGACGGTTTAATGGGTATTAAATGGTTTAGAAGTTTTCTGCGTCACACTACTCTTAAAGATGTCCTTGATTTAAAAGAAGTTTCTTCATTTTCCAATAAGCAATACGATGACAAATATCCTATTTATTGTGATAATAAATATCCTCATTGTAAGTGGTCTGCTCCAGAAGATAATATCGTTGAGCTGGTTTCAACTTATTTGAAATTTACGTGAGAACATTTACATTATAGTGTGGGAAGTGTGAGATTTATATAAAAACGTAATATCTTATTTATTTTGTATTTATAATTTTCATAAAAATAGAAATGCAGCACATTTTCCTGGTATATAATAAAAATTCACTATTCCATATGCATTTAAATTAAAAATTTATTTTATAAAATTTTAATAAAATATGGTGCAACATATGCCAAGCCATCGAATGTATGCATCTTGGGTTGTTGATAAAGTTCAAACATAAGTATAGAGAGAGCCATTTCAGTAGAATCAACTATTAATTCCTTACCACTATTTTGTTTTGAACTAATCTGCAAATACATGTAAATTATGAACAAAAATCTTCTAAAATTAATTTACTTAACAAACACACTTCACAGTTTTTTGTAATAAGTTATAACTTGATTGAGTTAGCATAATTGCTGCAAGTATAATTTCAACTGCCAATACGAATAGAGAATTTAAATCGATAGCAAACATGCGACAGATTGTAATTTTAGGCCTCAGTGTTAAACGTCCTAAAGTAAATTTATCAACCTGTAACAGTAAAGTTTTAAAAATGAAATATTCGAGTCTTATCGCCTGTTCGGAATTGCAACATTGTACATTGTAATTTTAGTGATTTTAAGTAAATTTACAAACAAAAATCAATTAGCAATTACACAGACTAACAAAATTTAAAAACTAGCCAAAACCTGGTGTCGAAAGTGTACATTTCTAATGGATCTGTACTTAATCGAGATATCGTTTCTAAAGTTTTAAAAAAATCTTGTTATTTGGCCATATTTTAGACGTTATAACAGCTCGAAGATATTTTACTTTATAAAGTTTGTTATATCATCTGAAGGTACAATCTATCGACTTTAAAGTATAGGTTAAAACTTTTATATATATTCGTCCTTCTTCGAGATATTTTAACCTAAAGTTGGAATGAAACAATTATAAATTACATATGGCAAAAAAAAGAAAAACGTTTTTTTTTAACTTTAGGATATTAGGATAATCTTGTAGATATAGGTTAGATATGGATTCAGCGTATTAAAGTATACTTTGTTCTCTGAGTTTAAAATTTTGTTGGTCTGTGTTAGTGAATTGCAATTTTTTACGAAACATGAAACTTTTCGAAAGCATGACTGATAAAATTATTGAATATTTAAATCTCAAAAATATTTGGGGTCTTCAGAAAATTTATTTCAACAACAAACGGATAAACGGCCCTATAAAATTCTTTGTAGGGTCGTTTATCTAAGGCATTTTGTAATTTAGTTACCTTAATACCCACCTCATAGTTTTGCTGTCTGACGTTATATTCCAATACAATTCTGTCCGTTTCCGCCATGGTCTCACATATACGTTCACATATTAAATAATATAAAAACATATGAAAAAACAGAAATGAAATCGAACTTAAATATGGAACTATCATGAAAATCACTCTAAAACCCATAATTTGAACAATTGCCAGGAAATTATAAAGATATGAAGAATTTACCAACAGCAGACCCAATAGAGCCCAGAATATGTGCGGACTAAAGATGACATTCACTTTTTCCAACAATAAAGAAATTTTAAAAAATATCATTCCGAATGATGCATCTACATGGTCATGTATCAGCTGATTATTTAGATTTGTTAAACATTGATTAATATAGAACAATATTAGGCCATGACGCAACATAATAGTATGTATTACGGCACATACATAACTGTGTAAAAAATAGACAGATAATCTTTTCCAAGAACCTCCACACAAATGGCCCACAGACCAATATAAAGTAGACCAAAAGTTTACATTTACAGTAATGATATTAAGAATCAGATTTTTCTTCACTTTAGTATCAACTGAATTATATTGCAGTTTATCAAAATATGTTATTTGCAATACAACAAAAGATTCTAGACATTTTTAAAAGCCTTATTTCCCTTGACCGACCACAACGTGAGTACAACACATAAATGTAAACGAGTTAAACTCAAGGCAAAACCCATCATGTTCATTGCTTCATGGTTATTCATAATGCCTTCAATTTCTAATATTGCACTTCGTATTGCCAATACAAGAAACAAAAGATTTTGCAATAACACAAACACTTTCACCAACTTCAACAATTTTACGAGCCGCCCATTAGCATCGAGGTAATCTGAGGCGAACCCCGTATATGCGCCGTGAAAGAAAGTAAAACGCAACGACCAATTTAACCAACTTGTCATAATGACTGTTAAATATAAATAAACTATTTTCCTTTAGTATTAGTCCGCTTATTAGTAATAACATTTGTATTTTAAATTTTATATAAACAATATTGTTCAAAACTCCAGAGAGATCAAAAATTTCATTATAAATATTGTAAAAAAAGGTTTATTAAACGATAGTTATGATATTATATTAATGTCTAATTTGTGATATTAATATTGAAATTTTTCACTAGCTAACGGAGTTATTTTGTTAATTATATAGAACACTAGCTTTTTATACCCGTCTTTGATCGGGGTTTTAGTGTTTTGAATGCACAAAATCATCAAACTTTTCGTGCTAATCTAGTATCCTTTGAGGCATTAGAGAGTTAGTGAGCACATTAAAGTGGATTTAGATTTCCTATTGCCATTTATTAAGGTGCCAATTGTAAGGAAAGTGGATGTATATGGCAATGAGCCGGTCAGTTAGTTTTAAGTGTTTTCAATTAATACTCCTTAAAAAAATACATAATTATAAATAATTTCATACTTTAATTAATATCAATAAAGCGGCCTTAATTTCTACCGGTTTATTGGCTACATCCAGTGCCTTGATTTTAATATTCAGAAAGTATGTGGTACTTGGCAGAGAAGAATCATCAGCAGACAAGCGTCGTAGATCTGACAATGAGTTAGTTGTCCAATTGTGGTCCATATTTAACAATTTTAAATTAGTTTATAAAAACTCCTCAGGTGCTAGAATTGGTGTGTTATATTGTATTCCTTAAAGCTTATAATTTATTACAAATATGTTCTTAAACAGATACCTCATTAGCAAGTCTAATCAATACGATTGATGAGACATTTCGAAATAATGCCATCGACTTAAGTTCCTGCTTATAAAAAGCTATTTGTGCACGTATACAGCAGTCTGCACGTCGTGTTAATGAGGGTTATTCATCAGCAGTCGATAAAATTATTGACGGTTTAATGGCCATTAAATGGTTAAGGACTTTTCTACGTCACACTTCTCTTAAAGATGCTGTTGCTTCTAGAGCAGTGTCGTCGTTTTCCAATGAACAATATAGCAATATTTATTGTGACATTAAGTATCCACAATGTAAATGGTCCGTACCAGAGAATAATCTAATTGACCTAATTAGAACTTATTTGAAATTTACGTGAGAAGATTGAACCACAATTTCTGCAGGGTGAATAATAATTGGAATACTTCTCACAGTAAGTAATTTATTTACTTTTAATAAAACTCTATGTAAGTTTTGTCGTTATAAAATATGCTCTTAATTTTGGATTCCTAGATATTTAGATTTCAAAATGACGATTTTTTGTGGGCAATATATTAGGTTACCACACATGTTCTTAATTTTTGCTCTAGTGCCTTCAGTCTCACAATAGTCTTGACTATAGACTGCTTCAGCCAGTACTATAGTGGTGCCTTTAGTTTCAACTGGTCTATAGTCAAAACTATAGACCAATCTACAGTCTTTATTATAGACTAGTTTATAGTCTTGAATTCAGACTAATCTATAGGCTTGATTTATAGACCAATCTATAGTCTTGACTATAGATCAGTCCACAATATTGAATTTAGACCAGTCTATAGTCATGACTGAAGACCAGTCTGTATCTTGAATATAGACTGTAGTACTGACTATAGACCAGTCTATAGACTTGACTATAGACCAGTCTATAGTTTTGACTAAAGACCAGTCTATAGTCTTGACTAAAGACCAGTCTATAGTCTTGACTAAAGACCAGTCTATATCTTGAATATAGTCTGTAGTACTGACTATAGACCATTCTATAGTTTTTACTATAGACCATTCTATAGTTTTTACTATAGACCATTCTATAGTCTTTACTATAGACCAGCCTATAGTCTTGACTATAGACCAGCCTATAGTCTTGACTATAGACCAGCCTATAGTCTTGACTTGACTATAGACCAGCCTATAGTCTTGACTATAGACCAGCCTATAGTCTTGACTATAGACCAGCCTATAGTCTTGACTATAGACCAACCTATAGTCTTGACTATAGACCAGTCCATGATACAACCATAGAAAGGTAGAATCAGTAGGGAGAGTTGTCAATTCTCTGCCTTGTTAAGTCAAACAAAAAAGAACTAAAAAGAGAAAAACTTAAAAATCTTCAAATGAAAACCACGAAAAATACCATGAAATGATTCTTGAACGGCACACGCAAACATCATTCCACACTTCTGTATCCTGTTTTTGATTTTTATTGGTTTTGCAATCTTTTTGATTCAAATTATTCAATTTTATTTTCTTAACAAAAAGTTTTCAATAATTTTATTTGATGTTTTTCTTTATATTTTTTAATTTTCTTTTTTGTGACAATTCAAGGCATGTAAAATTGAGAACGTACTTTTCTACTGATTCTACCTTATTATTTTTTTATTATGGACCAGTCTATAGTCCTGACTATAGACCAGTCTATGGTCTTGACTATAGACCAGTCTATAGTCTTGAATATAGTCTGTAGTACTGACTATAGACCATTATATAGTCTTTACTATAGACCAATCTATAGTTTTTACTATAGACCAGCCTATAGTCTTGACTATAGACCAGCCTATAGTCTTGACTATAGACCAGTCTATAGTCTTGACTATAGACCAGTCTATAGTCTTGACTATAGACCAGTCTATAGTCTTGACTATAGACCAGCCTATAGTCTTGACTATAGACCAGCCTATAGTCTTGACTATAGACCAGTCTATAGTCTTGACTATAGACCAGTCTATAGTCTTGAATATAGTCTGTAGTACTGACTATAGACCATTATATAGTCTTTACTATAGACCAATCTATAGATTACCTTAGATTCTACCTTATTATTTTTTATTATGTACCAGTCTATAGTCCTGACTATAGACCAGTCTATGGTCTTGAC